AAATCCGCCGAAACGTCAGCTCATTTGTGAATAAAGAATAATAACACCTCGCGTTTGCTCAACAAAAATACGAAGAATATCCAAGTGTTTTTTTAATGAGGATGGTCATCAACAGATGGGTAGTGAAAAACGAGAGATCGTTTACAACATAGATGAACGTAACTTTCGTTCACATTAATCAACGGCACCTGCATCAGCACTATAGTCAACATTCTGTAAAATTTTATAATTACCTTGTTTCAGGTTGTCAGTACAACGGAAAGAAGATATTTATGGTTAGATTAAATGAAAGGCGGTCTTTACAAATATAGTGAACGATAGACGCAAAATGAGATGGGTGAAAATTTACTGTGATTCATATATCCAACATGTACTTGTGAAGATTCTTCACTAAATTGGTGCTCCTCAACTATGAAAGTAAGCATAAAACGGTCAAACATAAAACCTGAACCAATTAAGACTACCCAATATATAGTAATGCACTGAATGACGAAGTTGTACTTCATATGGTGAGGTTGCCTCAAATTTACAAATACTAGCACTTACTTTACAAAGAAACAGCCATACTGTAGTCCCATCGACCGTGGGTTATTGGGCATACGATCATTATTAGACACTAAGCAGGCTTATCGAACAACAAGGATAGTAACTGCCACGACCGACTTTCTTATTAACGTCGGCATTGATCAAGTGATTTTCTTCGTAATTTTGTTGAGCAAACTCGAGGTGTTACTATTCTTTGTTCACGATTAAGCTGACGTTTCGGCGGATTTCGCCTTCTTCAGAGCCTGGAAAGGTCAAGTTGATAGCAATCCACTCGGCCAGACGCCTCCATAACCAAACAAAGAAACTCCAAACCAAGATTTCAATCACTTTGAACACAGCTTTGCACACTCACCGCCTTCTATGAGGTTTCCACTAAGTATGTCACGTAGAGACCAACCGCACAGAAATCACGTGGAAGTATAATGTGCCCCTCACATCAGAAAAGCAGTTTTATATACTGCCCTATATCACGCGTGATAATGAGGCATTCTTCCCTGCGGTTCATTTTCGGATTTCTGGAATTAATCCAGAGTGCCTCGAGAGTTATCACTCTCACTATATCACTATACTTCCACGTGATTTCTGTGCGGTTGGTCTCTACGTGACATACTTAGTGGAAACCTCATAGAAAGCGGTGAGTGTGCAAAGCTGTGTTCAAAGTGATTGAAATCTTGATTTGGAGTTTCTTTGTTTGGTTATGGAGGCGTCTGGCCGAATGAGTTGCTATCAACTTGACCTTTCCAGGCCCTGAAGAAGGCGAAATCCTCCGAAACGTCAGCTTAATCGTGAACAAAGAATAGTAACACCTCGAGTTTGCTCAACAAAAATACGAAGAAAAACAAGGATAGTTTTTTTCAATCTCAGAGACCCACCGTTCTAGAAAGATCGTGAAATGCCAAGTGACGATATTTCAAGATACAGTGAGGAGGTCATAACTGAAAATTGTCACAGAAGTTTAGAATGAGTTCGGAATTTCCATCCGGAAGCGTAGTACGAGTAGACCTATTCCAAAGTTCAGTGATTTACCTCAGACTATAATCACTTAAAGGTGGAAAAAGAAGGCATCATGCCAAACGTTGGTGCAGCGATGGATGAAGACATTAGTAGTGCCCGTGATTAAGAGATAGTAAGACGGTCTCAATACCTTCTAGCTTAACGATAATCCTTATAAGAATAAAACCCACATTTTTACTAGAATCAAAGTCCAATCTAATTTCCTTTTGCCGTGTTGCTTTGAATGAAGGCAGCCAGAGTAATAAAAATGAATCTGAAATGTACCAATACGCGAATACACAATAAGAGTAAACCATTAATCACCTACTCTCGATGAAGGATGGCATTTTGAGCCTTGCTATGCACAGTGCATACACAACCACCCTGGTTGCCGGTGGTGACCACTTGTCAGGTAAGCTCGTTACCAATTTGTCCAACAGCACGCCTGAGCGTTCCACCCTTCAAAACATCTGGTAATGAGATAATTATGGTAAACCTTCGCTAAAACGGGCTATTTCATTCATACCACCATTTAAAATTAAAAAAAGGAAAGCAGTCAGTTAGCGTCTATATGTCACCTAAAAACAACTGCATTTGTAGTGGGCAACTAACTTTGTAGTAATTTACATAGCAAGTGGTATATACTATTAAATCTTTTTGCATTCTCCGAAGTATAATAATAGTCGTTTAGAAAATATATATTAAAGAGAGACCGTCATAAAAGAGACGAGCGCGATTTTTTAAGCGAACCGTCATAAAAGAGGTAAGCATCGTTTTTCAAGGGAATCCCTATAAAAGAGACAAACGTGATTTTCGAAAACATTTGGAAAACTTTTATTAAAGCTCACGTAAATTTAAAGAGGCATTAAGCTTATTTTTTCATAGTTGACTTTCTACTACCATTTCTCACTCTATGCCACAAAAAACATGATATAAAATCAAAAAAAGATTACTTCAATATCAAATAAATCGCTAAGACAAATAAAACACACTTAGCTCCAAATAGTGGAAGTCCAAGCTTTGATGTGACGGCGACGAAAAATGGATAAGTTAGACCTATAAATTTGTTCGCATTCCTATCGCACTTCTTTCGAATGTCTTTGCTGAAATTAACCCGTTAGTAGAACACAGTATTTTAATTACTTTTGTAATTGAAACAAGATAACGAGGTTTGTGTGCTCCTGATAAACAGAGACGTGATTATTAACACATAACAACCAAAATTCATTGGACGAAATGCATCCTGATGTTAAAATAATGGCCTCTTAATTTCAAACCGAGACATCTCACCCATGTTAGACTTCATTAATTGGAATAGAGCTATCAGAATCTACAGAACTTCCTCTATGAAAAACAAGTCTTTTTTCAATAATAATCTTTTCCATAACTCATGACACTTTTATTTAACAGGCCAGTGTTTTCTTTTTTTAGGAAACACTAAATTGTTATTTTAAAAAAATTATCCAATACTGGCCGACGTTCTTGCGGTTTCGCTTTGTAAACAGCCTGGAAAGGCCGAATTAACACGCAATCTACTTAACGAAACATGGATACCGGCCGCACAGAACTTAACATAGGTGAGGAGTTTGCCTGGTTCACGTCAAAAAATCATCCTGGAGTATGACAGAAGACAGCGGTTTTCCGTATGACGACTTCGTTTTTCCTCCAGACCTATTCTGACCAGTAACCATTTCGTAGCCATTGGAAGTGGTGATCTGCAGTGCCAAATTGACTGAATGACTCCTGCTCTCTCCTTGTGCACATATTAGTGGCTGTAAGAAAAATGCTTCTCAGAAGCGCCTTCTTCAAGTGTGAAGGGTGAGAGGACATGTATCTTCCCTTTATTTGGCCTTCGGCAGTACGTGGTCATGTAGCCATTTCTGGACAGGTTAATATGGAATTTCAAAAGCGGAAGCCAGTCTTCTATCCGGCTCATCCAGCCGTATGAAGCTTATCTACTCTCACTGCAGCTTTAGTTATTCAAAACAGTTCACCTCCTCTGGTGTTAAGCAGATGATAAAACAGTCGCAAATATACTTAGAGCAGAATAGAGGCCACAGAACGAGTACAGGAGCTCCAACTTCAGACATGAACACAATGACAAGGGTTGGTGCCAGTCATTCTCTCAATGCCATCCTTCCCACTCTTGCGTTTTATTTCCCGAACAATTTGAAGACTAAGCAGTCTAGGCGCTCTTTGAAGAGGCTTACAAGTTACCCTAAGCCGGTTTTTTGACCTGAGCCAAGCACATTTCTTATCCATGTTAAGAACCTTGTGTCTGCTCAAAAAGAAAACACCTTGTTGAACAGTGTCAAGGGTTAAAAAAAGGTCGGCCGTGGCAACTGCTTTATTTCTTGGTCTCGAAGCTCATATCTTGAACAGGGGAAACGAGCAGTATTTCGCCGAGCGATTCACAATAGTGCTTTCCAGTGTGTCAGTTATCTTTGCAGCTGACGTTCCTACGTTGAAATTACTAAACATTCAACTTTGGCTTCAAATCTAAAAATTTCAATCCCAACCATATTGTACTGAAGGATACACATAATGATTTTGAATAGAGCCGCAGATCAAAGGGTTCCACATAGATTTTTCAATTCTTAACTACTGAAATACTGTAGCGACCAAAAAATAATCGTCCGTCGTTGAAAAATAATCGTCAAGAGTTATGGTGCTGATTTATCCGAAGGAGGCGTCATGCACTCGACTTTATTAGGCATCGTTTGAAATGATTTAATGCAGTTTTGGCCTTTACAATAACTCGCGGTAGACTGTCGATGTATCCAACCTGTGCTGCTATCCTACCAAACTAGTCTGGTACCAATTTGCCAACTCCGTAGGCATGGAAGGGCTGGTGAACTTGGAGCGTGGGGACTGATTCTATGTCTGTTGCAGGGCACACACGACCGCTGCGCTTCGCGCGCACCTTGCTTAGCCAATATGTAAATCAAATCTTGTAACATACTTGTAACCCACCACACTGGTGAGCGATTCTCGAAATGCAGATCGTAAAATCGCATCACACACGAATAAAATGTCATCTGGCATCAAATTCCCGAAATTCATCGTTAGCAGGGAGTTTCCAAACGCATCTGGAATAGTAAGAGACCTAACAAAAAAGGTTTCAATATCTTTCATAGATGAACCGAAAGCAAATGAAAATAACCACGTAAAGAACCACAGCACTAGTCCGAGTCACTAAAGTTTGCCAAAAACATGTACTACGGGACTCACATAAACCGTGAGGAGGATCAGCCGATTTCCGCAATATGTCCATCAAGAAACTCTAAAACCAGCATATTGAAAATATAGAAAACTGTTTAAAAACTAACGTTTGCACCTGACAACACTGGCAATTACCACTTACAGAAACAGCATTGAAAGCTTGAGGGCGAATTGCAAGAAATGCGAGCATTATAGCGCACGCTTTCTGCGGATTCCCATCCGCTGCTTTTCTGAAGATTGCCACACCTTGATCAAGCTCATAATGTTGAAGAAGACCTAAATCGACACTCGTTTAAGTTATTAGTTATTTTTTTATTTTTTTAGTTATTTTTTATTTTCCCAGAGAAGTTATTTTTTCTCAATTGAAGAGAACAGTTCCACAAATTGGTTCATAAACCGGTAACATACAAAACAATTCAACCAAAACATCTAATCTGATCAAATTAAAATCGGTCATCGTACTCTTCAAGACGTCATAGAACATGCAACCCAGCGAAAACATATATTTTTTTCTCGAATTCACATTTCATTTACGTCGATTATAGTACAATATATCCCATGTGGAGGTGCGTATAGCAATGGCAATGGCCCGAGGTACCCAGCAGTATACATGGGATCGATCCTCGCGTCTCAGGCTCAAAAACCTACCACCTCTCTAGGGTACGCAATTTGGTACCAGGACTATTTGGGAGGATAGCAGCACTAGATCGATACACCGATAGGCAACCGCGAGTCATTTTAAAGGCTAGATATGCATTCAATCATCTCCAACGATGATCATCTGATCAACGTCGATACCTCTATTCTTTTCTATCCTTTTAACGACATTTCCACTGTTTTCAAAAAAGAGGAAAAAACATTGGATGTGTCATTACGTACATCCATAACCCTCCATATTCTCCATTCCTCGTTGGATGTAATCATCTGCAACCATATCAATCACTTTGTAGATGAAATCTCGATTATCCCGGATCCTAAACCACACACGTTCAAGCGCTGAATAAAGCATTACAAAAGATAACAGCTACTTACACTTCATGCAAACATGCGATAGCGTCGTCGTATTCACCGAACCTAACCTTCATTTGTAATTCCAAGAGCTAAACAGTTGAAATCGTGATATAGTACTAAACAGCTCCTTGATTCTGTCAAATAGAAAGCGAAACAAAGACTTTGACAAACTGGTAAAATCAGAAGTGAAAATTGGAATTAGAATTTAAGAAGTAGAAAACACTACTCCTAACTATCATTTACAAAAAGTGCATATCCCGATCACTAATCCGTTAACAGATGCTGGATCATATGAATAGAATCAACCCCTACCTAGTCAAAAATGTCTGTTTGCGTCTATGTTTATGCGCACATTGCAAAACAAGTGCTTTCGATTTAAGTCTAGCGTTTTAACTTTAAACAAAATTATCTCATCTGACATTCAACTATCATAGAAATCAATAGGTTATGCCAATAAGAAACAATCTTTTTCATTCTTCTTCATTCAGTAACGATGAAACCATTTTTGACCCCGAGAAAAAAGTGTCTTTTTGCTTGTTTTTCCTCGAATCTAGTATTTCGATCGATTAAGAACTTGGAGATGCTGAATTTTCTCCGGCAAGCATAATGGCGCCAATGTGCGCGGTTACCGTTTTAGCATTAACGATTTCATGGTTTCTAAATTCCAGCCCAGACAAAATCTAAAACTCGTGTAATATTTTGGTGGAGAACACGTTAGCCCCTGGAAAGATCAATTTCGGGTTCGGTCCCCACAACCGCTACCTGCCTTCTGGAGTTTAGCAAATATTTCAGCACCATTGTGGTTGAACTCGTGTGATGTTTCAAAAGAACCATTGTGTACTTCTACGGCGACAACGCAAAGTATCTCCCACTTATTTGTCAAATTTCTAGGTCGTCACATACTCTAATTATAGAAAAAAAATATACTGTGCAATGCACTTCAGAGCTGATCGAAAGAAAAACGATTTACAGTAGTTACAGTTATTCGTCACCAATGGCCGAAGAAGTTAACAACGTAAGATAGACGGCCCGTTCTACTTACTGAGTGTGCTAAAACTTTAGCTTATCAATCCAAATTGTAGGGGAAAAAATTTTGAGAGTAAACAATTTAAGAAATCATACGTAAAGAATCCCCGTACCTGCTTGAAATCATCGTTAATGTCTTTCCGTATTGCTGAAATGAGCAACATGCGATATCTCGCCGTCGTGTAATTCTCCGACATCAGTACGCGAGTTCGGAGATCTATGATACATCAAATTGAGACATTTAAGCAATCGATAAGGAATATATTCGGCTAGTAGCTACTACTCGGCATTGTTTCAGATATAAGAAATACGTATCAGATGCATACTAGCCACCTAAGATCCACATATTTACAGAAATTCACCACCTATATAACATTTGTCAACACTGGGCGACAACCCCGCTCACAGTCGTCATAAGTTGATTCGCACTCAAACGTTTGGGATGGACAGATCGACCTGCCTGAATGCTTTTGGGTTGTTGGTCGCACAAAGGCATCACTTTTTCTTTTCTATCGCTAGGCTACTTCAACACAGACCGGTGTAGCAGGTGTCGGCCGGGAAGACCGTTATCTGCTCTCAATAGTATAGATGAAGTTTGTTCTTAAAACCACAAAAGTTAACCGCCTTTCCATTACGAAATCTCTCTAATGACTTTCGCAGCAACTAGACATTCTTATACACCGACGACATTAAGACTGCAGCTAATAAAGGAAATATAATAGCACCCGTATGTGGTCACACTCATAGACCAACCAATATGATTTGACGCAATTCAAGGTACCACGGAAAATGAAAGACCGGTTAAACGCACTCTCGCATAAAATTAGCCATCGAATACTAAATGTTTAGGGACATATTCCGTTGCAATAAAACCACATGGACCAACCACGTCTGTAGTTCACCTTCCTATGTTGACTACAACAGGGACCTACTCACCATCATAAACACCCTCCCATTCGACTTCAAATCGCCTTTGTTTCCGTTCCACACTCGTTGACTTCGACATTGTCACTGACAATTGCAAGCTGCTTACAAAAATTTTCTTCTCACTTGTCCTGACTATACTTTGCCATCCTATTGACTCCCTGTAGCTACATTTTCAACAAAGTACCCAACTCATTATATTAGGAAACAATGAATAACGTTAGGAAAACTACGACAAACGGTAAGAGCAGTAATTGACGGGGAATCACTACCTTACACATTTTGTAAAAAATCATGAAAAAGACCGCTATATGGGTAAATTTATCTTTTCCAAGCTCTATAAACAACTGAAATAAAAGGTTCAACTGTTGAATGTCAATGGGAGTTATGGACGAGGTAGAACTTATTCACTTAGCATAACTGCCGCGAGATGCTGGTATGTCCTTCTCAAGAATGATCCAATGAGAACAACAGAGATAGATTAATAAAAGGTAAAACAACACAATGATCAAGATCCAAAACAGGGATGTGTGGATCAGCCTTATGGCAATGACTTAATATATATATAAAAGTAACAGCGCATGTACAAATAATCGAGGAATTTATTTCAGAGCATAGTGGCTTAAAAACTAAAGGTAACAACTGACACAGGGTTTTCTCCAACGATCATATAAATATATACGCCCTGAGAGAAATCATCTGATAGCAATGAAAAGAGATCGCTTTTCTCGAATACACTATGTCGATAACTAAGAAAATCCTCTTCGCCATGAACACTACAACGACTACAACCGGATGTGAGGGTCCTCCATTCGATTATATATGAAGATGTAGCCAGATGATGAGGAGTTATCTATTACCTCAGCTTCAGAAACCTGAAAAAAGAGCATTTTCTTCCTAATTCCAATTTTAGTTGGCAGGAAACCACGTTACATTCACCCACAAATTGATGATATCCCTAAAGTTACAAAGCTATTCGTACACGACCACCTGATGCAAATCTTTGGTTGTTCAGATAATCCATGATCAGCGCACTGACGAGTGCAAAAAATTGATACAAGTCATCGGTTACTTGCAGGAAACGATGATCACCGCATTGACGAAGATAAAACATCTAGAACTCTCTACTATCGCACGTTCTTTCTTTCAAACAATTCTCTCCTCTAATAAACTTCGTTGAATGCTCACTGTTTTCCTTCCTCGGTCATTCCGATGAAATCGAACTTAACATTCTTGGTTTCAGGAATCAGATCTTCGGTGAAGGATTCAGATGCTACTGTGCATACTTATTACAGAAATGGTCACGTTGCAGATTTAGATAATATAAAATGCCCTAAAACTCAAGCAGCGTTGCCGTGACTGTCGCAAAACCTTGCTTAGGATGCTCTTCTGGAGAATGATGCCCGTTGCTTCCATACCCACGGACAGCTCAAAGGGGTTCTATAAAATGAATGCAGAGCTAATTTTTTGTACGCGACTTGAGACCGGTTTTCGATCATATTCTAGTCAATTCAATTGTAGTTAGCCACAAATAGGCCAGGGAACACGTGCATTCAAGCGTGTTACGCTCATATATACACCTTGTCTATGGAGCACTAGTCGCGTTGTATGCAGCACGTAGCCTCTTTTTCCCTAATGCAATCCCGAGTGCAAAAGTCATTAACATAAGACTGATTTTAAAAAGCAGGAAAAGGAGGAAAAATCCAGAAAAGCAACTGCAGAACATACGTACTACTCAAAATTTACCAATCAAACAATTCTTTTAGTTTTCAACCTGATTACAGTGATGTTTGACAGAAGTAATTCTATTCTTAGCAACACTGTATTTACCGCGCTCGGCCGAAAATAATTCACAACGATGCCAGGTTTTCGTTAATTTCAATACTGGAGGATTAAGGACTTGATTAAAGATAACGCCCGAAGAGCACTTTTCGGTAATTACCGACGTTTTCTCGATAACTGCAGTATTTCAGGAGTTCCGAGCTACAATTGATCTATAGTGGGGTGGCGATCGCGCAGTGATTAATGATGCTGTGGATTAGGAAGCAAAGGCGCTGGTTCGGCAATCCTGCAACGTTCTCCTCCAATCCATGTGGGAACGCCCTAGTCCGCCTATCTCCAAGAGTGCAAGGAGCTTTGAGTCAACCAGTATTCTAAAACATTTATAAAGAAGGCGAAATCGTCAATAAGCAGCCCAAACAACATAATCGAAATAATCGAAGACCATTGTGGACGAAAACGAATCGAATACAAGAAGTGCTGGGATCCGCACAACAGATGTGATGACGGGTCACGTAAAATAAAAGGATTTATAGAAGACATTTTGTTCTATCGGATTAATCACATGTATAGTACAGCATAAATCATTCTTTCAATTTTCAATGTTTGGAATCAAACCTTCCAAAAACATGTAGCAAACTTTGTTTTTAAAATTTCAACAATAGTGCAGCAGCTGCGCACATGAAAGAAAACTTGGGAACATTCATTTGCTTTCATGTTAAGTAACTTGTCTAGTAAAAACAAAGAATTACAAACCCAAATGGTTTCCTTTGCAGCTAACAAGCTTGAGTATGAACTATGTGGACCTAATATTGAAAGCAGTCACTGTTTTCGCATCGGTCGTCTTGCATGTTATGCAAGTCGGACCTTATGTGTTAACTTCGCAGACAGACCTTACCCTATAGTCGTAAATGTGTATATATCTACCTTCTCTAAAATGTTAATTTCGATAAACATTAACTATACCTTAGTGATCACGTTATCGTTGCAATCAAGCCACTCCTGCCTGGTTGCGTCGAGAGCAAATGTGGAATAATGACCTGAAGTAAATCAATGCCACTATGTATACATAAACGGATATGCACATATATGCACATGTATATATCCGTATATGTATATATGCACGTGTATATCCATTATGTACATATATATATATATATATATTTGTGTCACATGCACCACTACGCCTAACGTTGTGTGGAGACCAAAGCCCAGATTCAATTTGTCGTTGCATGCAATATACTTGAAATCAGCGCATAGAGTGCACTTTGCACCTTAAAATGTATATGCCCATTCTACTGTGCTTTTCACTATACAACACTTTTCTCCTATACACCTCTGCATCCATTCATGTGATTTTTAATTTACTACATACCCTTCATGCTCTTCTATACACTTTTCCACACTTTCTGAACACATACAAGTTTGCGTATGATGACGAAACTCGTTCACTAACTCAGCGACATTGCTGCCAGCTATTGATAAAGTTTCGTAAAGTATATGAAACATATTTCAATTTCTACCTATTCCATACGAGAGGTATAAATCAACAAAGAGACTGGAAACTAAATAGCCGTGAACTACTACAGATGCTTGTATCATGTAAACAGCGGACGAGCTAAGTTTTCCTTTGAATAGATATCTCACCAAGAATGAATCGATGGAATTTGTCGTACAGCCCGAGGTTCAAAACCTACAGTTTGTTTATATAATTAAGATTCCTCATATCAAGCTACTACCAAAATATGACCGATTAGAAGGTGTAGGAAAAAGAAGACGCCCCAAGCGTGTTACCCAGTAAAAGATGTGCAATTGAAGACCCAAAATAATACGAAAGGAGGGAGAAATGGCGCTCAAGAAAATAGACAAATGGTGGCATCATCATGACATTGACTGAGGAAACCTCGCTTTTTTGATAAGCCATGAAAGGTGCAGAATCTGTAGAAGGTTCCAGCGAGTTGAGCATTCAAACGCGTTTCTGTTCCATTTAAGTGGTTACAGTGGCTTCACCTTCAGTTATACATGTCTTTGAAAAGATCTCATTACAGTAAAAAGAAAAAAACTTGGCCAGCTGTATTGGTTATAAAACGTTGGCAAAACAACTTGCTAACGTTTTAGAACGGCCTTGGACATCCGACAAAACTTGTGAAGCAAGTCAGCATAATAGGCTCCCAAAGAGTACTGTTTAGAACGGCTCAGTAATACGTTGCAAACAAATATAGATTGCAGAAATCACAGTAGTAAAAGTGCAATAGTTGTAAACACTTAAGATCACAGAAAAGCAACTATTGATATTGTGTGCAAATTGTGTTAAAGTAAAGTGTTGCGAAATCCGACGACTACAAACAGCACATAAAGGATAAAGGATAAACTCCCAGCGTTGATCAATCCCTGAGGGATGCGTCATGCATTCGACCTCATTAAGCATCGTTTGGAGGTGATTGAATGCATGCCTGGCCTGACCCGCTGTGGTCCGCCGATGTTCGGGCCAATGCTGCTATCTTCCCACACAAGTCTGGTATCAATTAGCCAAATCCGGAGGGATTGAAGGCTTGTTCGGCTACGGGCGCGGGGATCGATTCCGCGTATGTGTCACCTCCAACCACTGCGCCACACGCGCCCTATGGCACATAAGATTTTCTAGTTGTGAGAACTGTAGCAAGTAAAATAAATGTTTTTCATCACGAGATCTCCAATAAAATCTCCACCATCAAATCTTAAGAACTAGGAGTTAAGAATATGTAATATTTCAATAGGTGTACTCTACACATCCATGAATTCACACACTTCAAGGGATTTTCTTTTACATGATTCAATTACATGTACATGTAGATGTACAAGTCTTCTGAGTGATTTGCCATCTTATAGTGGCTAGGAAGTGTACAAAGTTTTAAAATTCTATGTATTAGTACATCAGAGATGTTAGTATCCGCCATGAGATTCAAATAAAACGAATGAACTCGTATAGAATTTTTATAAATAAGCTTGGAGGATAGTAATTCAAGAGCCACGCCTCCCATAACACTTGTGCTGGATAAGCGATCTACTGAACATAGAAAACATAACGGGAACTTTCGCCAAAACAGTCAAAAGGAACACGTCTCGAAAGCAGTGTATATCGCGTCGAGGCACATGTTGATATTAACTATATCTACTTATAAATACAGGTAGACGCATTCCACCCTTTACTTTTTTCAAATTTTTCAACAAGGTTTTTTTGAAATCTGTAAAGAATGCACCAAAACCAGGCTGGCAAACGAAACTTGATGAGGTATTCAGGACACTTGTTTTTCAAAAAAAAAA